GCGATACCTTTCCGTGTATCCTACACCAAAACCCCCAAAAGCGATAGGGCCTCCCCAAATTGTCCATGGCATCGAATTATACAAGGAGTTTCGGCGAACGCTCATATATATATATATATATAGAGGAGGATACAGGGGTTATATCGGGATATATATATATATACATATACACACATAGGGTTTAGGTCAACACCCCTTTGCCGCAGAGTGAGACAGCAGTGAAAACAGGCACGGCGGCCCTGGGCAAAATAATGTTTCGAGGGAAAGCTCTTGACTTCAAGCGCCAGGCTTATCACGTTCCTTTGAAATTCGATTCTTACTTCAGAATCCTTTTCTATTCGCTTTTCTGAACCTACCCCACCCCTTTTGCTTGTTTTGGTGGACATCTTCCAGATCCCCCTTTTTTGCGGGGGCCTTTGACTTAAAGGGGCTTCCTTGGCATTTGGGGCACAGCTGGAGGAAGAGTGCCCCACGCCAATCAAGATTCCACAGCACAGAAATCATTACCTGGGATTACATAAGGGCCACTACAGGGCTACATCTGCCCATTTCCAGTGAAGCAATATGTACAGATTGGCGTTGGGTGTTTGAGGCTTTCTGGGTCCTGGGTTCTGGGCGGGGATTAAGGTTCAAGCTTTTTAGCTTGAAATCTTAGACTTCGAGGCATGAGTTTTGTTTCTCGTGTTTTTGGCGCTAGGGGTTGGGGTTGATGGGTAGCTGGCATTTTGGCTTTTGTTTTCGTCAGGGTTTGTAGTCTGGGGTTTCTCGGATGGGTTCTGGTTCCTCCCGAAGAACTTATCCGCTATGCCCAGCAACTGCCGAAAATTCAAAAGCCCCGAAGTAATCTCACGCAACATTCGGAACAATGACCGATCAACACTGGCTTCTATGCGAGCAGCACATTGTCGCTGTCCTTTTGAAGTTTGAACAGAAGCCAAGCGCAGGCTTCACGTCCATGACTCCCAAATTCACGAGCGCTCAAAATGACGCTCTTAGTCTTTGCTAATCCCTTTGCCTTGCAAAGAACATCAATTCCATTATACAGCGGGTGAAGGAGGGTTATTGATGTTGAAGCATGCCCGCAAAGCGAAGGTCAAGAGGACCGGTTGTGACATTTGGGTACCTGTACACGCATGAGAGATAGATATTTAAGATCAGGTGCATTACCTGGATTACAGGGCTCATATCGTACAACGTTCTCATAGGATTTATTGGGTGTATGAGGTCTTATCCGCTGAAGTCTTGCTTAGCAAGCTACTGCGAAACACAGGCCATGGCAGGAAACGCGCTTCCGCAGACCGAAATGCCCGCCACCCAGACTTCTGAAGCTTCAAAGACATAACAAACATCCGCAGTTCACGGCACATTCAGGGTTTATGTACAGACGGTATCTTGTAGGGACACTTCTAGGGCTGGTATACGAGATCTAGTAGTCACAAGGTTTGTCTCTCTGTCATGTTTTTTCTCTCTCTCCCTCTCTCAGTCTCTCTCTCTCTCTCTCTCTATACATACATACACTGCATATTACATTTTCCGTCACCAGTTGGATAACTTTCCGTGTCTCTGTAATTCTGTGTAACCTTTTTCTCCTATCTGTTTCTGCTGCTCTGTAGATTGCCTTCGTTGCTTCGGTCTTTCTAGAGCCTCAGCATAGGATAATTATTGGAGATTATTTAGACTACCGTGGGATCCATTCCTCCATTGCATACCTACCGCCAGTAATAAAAACCTAGATGCTAGAATCCCCAATAATGGCTTTGGGCTTCGGCCAAGGTTTGAATCCGCGGACTTGTCACGCCTGGCCGCTGCACTCTGCAGGCATCAGCAGGGGCTTTTGTACCAGCCTTGCTTTATAAGCATTCGTGAGGGCGGTGGTGGAAAGGGTTTTATGAGGTTGGATTTTTCTTGTGGGTTTATGATAGAGTGTGACAGGTCCCGTTCGGGGGCCTTGCTGTGCCCTCGGGATGTTTAGAGGTATTTGTGACTCTTGGAGATCTTTAGAAGATGTCGAAATCTGTGCATGTCAGCACTTTGAAAAATTTTGGTAATGCTTACTGTATGCGCACTAAAAAAATCCTCTTGGTTTGCTTTGAGTGTGATGATGCCTGAAGTGCTTTGTCAACGCCAAAGGGGGGGCGATAACGCAAGTATTTTGCACCTCATGTCGTGTGAGGCATTCGATTTTTGAGCCAGTCGAAGCAATGTAATGACGCGCTTATCGGGCTCAGATGGCACTCACAGAGGTCAGTTGCGTTTCGTGCAATGTGCTCCCAGCCAGATGATAGCCGGATTGCTCAAGTGCGGGGAGATGTAAAAAGATGACATCAAGAAAGTTTAGCAACAAAGCCTCAGAGCCATACACATAAATTTGGCTTCGAGAGAGAGGAGGGCAGCTGTGGCAGCACAAGCAATTGAGTGTGATGATTATGTAATGGATCCTGAATATGGTTCCGAGTGCTCAGGTTTGCATGACTATGACGGATGTTTTGTTGCTGCCACTCTTGCTGTGATCATGACTTCCATCCAAGGTGTTTGGCAGGATGTGGCGCCCACTTTTTCTAAAGCTGCTTTAAGATGCCTGCCTCATGCACAGTCCCTAAAGTAGACTTTTTGTTAGGCTTGGTCATCACGAGGGCGCCTGGCAGCTGTATGCTGGAGGCCAAGTGTGACAGAGTCTTTCCCCTCTGATGTGCGGAGGCCTGTTGACTGGATGTGGCCACTTCTCGTTCTTGATTTTTTGTTTGAGATATCCGCTTTTGGAGTGTTGTGAGAACAAGAGTGCAGGAGAGAGCAATACCCTTGCCCAAGTTGGGAACATCGTCACGCACGATTAACTTCGTCCCGCAGAGGGAACCCTCAAATGTTGCATTGTTTCGTCAAGGTGCCCTTTCTACCATGCACTCAAGCAATTACAATGTCCAAATGAGGGTCGTCCAAAAACCCACATTGAACATTCAAAGTTGTAGTGGGCGCGAAACAGGATTTTGAACATATGCGCCGCGAGCGCAAGGTTGGCGCAATTGGCGCAAGCACCGACAGATGCTGAAAACCAGTGTTAAGTGGTTTTACGACTAGCAATTTTTTCCTGTAACTATTCATTCTTCAATATAGCCCTTTTCAATCCTTTCCCACTGGAAGCTCAGACGACATTGAACCCTGTAGCGTACATCAAGTTTTTAGGGCGGCATAGCTACTCCCGACATGGCGGCGAATAACGGAAAGACGTAAGCGGAAGTTGGCGCAAGGCGCGCACAACGGCGCATGGTATTTGCCAGGTCTTGGCACACCATTTCCGGGTAATATCTTTTGACATACGCGCACAGGAATATGACAAGTTCCGGAGAGGGAGAGGGCGGTGTGGCCCTCTCCCCGAGAAACAGGCTTGGCCCCTGCGTTCAAGGGCAACAGCACAGAACCTTGAGATGTCTCTTGTTCGGCAATGTTAGGCATCCTAGCCGTTAAGGTACAAAGCCTAGCTTATGGTTGCCTCAGTTGATTATATTCTAAGGCCTTCTGTAAAGGTTCCAGGAATTGAGATTTTCAGAAAACCACGCGCGCGCGCAAGGTTAGCGCAGGCTTCGCGCAAGGGCATACCGAGGGGCATTTCTGGGACAGAGAATCTTGGACCACCCCCAGACAAGCGCGGCAGACCCTTGCCCATCCGCTTTTGGCCTCTTCTTCTTGAAGCATCGATTGCTGGTGATAACATACCACGCAGACTGACAAAAATAGCTCCAATGTCTTGCCCAAGGCTCTCCTGTCCCATGTCCCAGAACCATGCCTACATCAAAGTCCCAAACTGTGGCCCTCAGCTTTTGAATGGATGATATCAATGTAACAGTCTTAGATCATCCAAGCCTCTGTACTGCAGGAATTTCTGCAGGCCCAAAAATCCATCAACATGCAAGTAGCACCACAAAAAAGACAAAATCCTTCAGCGGGTTGTGACCTGAAGCCCCAAATCGTGAACTTATGTCCCAGGGCACGCCTATAACTTAAATCCTATATTCCCATACTCCCTAAATGTGTTCCAGTCTGAGAAAAAAGCAGCCATAAAGAGTCACCCGAAAGCTTCAGCCCTACAATCCTGATATGGGTGGTTGTCAAAATTATTGGTCCCTTTTTGGGTCCCTATTACAGTACGGCACCTAGTATTTAGGGTACCCAAAAAGGGACCATAATTTTGACAACCACCCGTATACTTCCGTTGGGATATTACTAGGACAAACTGTTAGATATTATGGGCTAAATCTTACATGATGTCCATCAATTTTTATTTACAGGCCCTTAAATCCATCACAGCATCAAAGAATATAGAGAAAACAAGATTGTTAATTATTGTGGCTATAAATCCTACCTAACCCCATTTTCTTAGGGCCCCTAATCTACCCCCAAAACTAGCTGCTAACCCTAAACCCTATACCCTATGCCCTCAACCCGAAACTCTAAACCCTAAATCCTATACCCTAAACCCTAGAAAACAAGGCACGTGTGCAGAGAGCTCTGCCGGGTGCCTCGGGTACGCAGGACCTCCGAGGCGTGGGGGCCTCAGGAAGTTTGGAGATGTTTAGGGTTCAGGTTGGGATTTAGGAGTTTGTGGATTAGGGACGGGGCTAAGGGTTGAGGGTTTATGGGGACAAGAGATACTACCATCAAGCTCTCAGCATTTAGAATGTCGGGCCCGGGATACTAAGCCTTTGGATTTAGGATTTATGGTTCACGGTCGATGGGGTCGAGGCAGGGTTTCGTAAGTCCGAGGTTTAGGTTGGCATGTGGGTAACAGAGAACTGTCATTCGCAGTTGCCATTGTAACCATACTATCTTCTGTTAACCATCATGGTTATTGTTGCCATGGAGGTGGCAATTTCCGCTATTCGTGTTGCACTTTTTCCCTAATATTGAGGACCTCTGATGGAGCCGCTATTTGGTTCATGTATCAAGGATGAGGGCATATGAGGGCTTTAGGGGTGCAAAGCTGCTCTCTCTTGATCAAGCGCGAACACAGTGCTTCAAAAAAGTTATGAGGCAACACGTGGATACCGGATGCCGGTGCTCGCAAGCTGTGCTTTTGTTGTCTCTCTGGCTTAAGGTACGGGCACGTGTCCCGTTATGAGAGGCCGACTGGTCACGCGCTAGAACACAGCTGAGGCAGCACGTTCAGGTGAGGTCACCAGTTGAAGACAGTGTTTCATGACCTGGTGCCCGGCAGTCTGCAGGTCCTGCATAGCCGCAACAGTAGCGTGAAAAGTTTCCTATCTTTCTTGCTCGGGCTCGACACCAGTACAGAGAAAAGACCATGCCAGCCAAACGAACCAGGATGGGTCACTATAAGACCACAGCAATGGTGCCGGGGCGGGGGAAGTGTGCTGCGCTGCTTCTCCTGACCTGCTGCTCCAGGCGCGACTCACAGACTAAGTCATGACTCATCACATGATAGAGCTTGCTTCAACTTTCAGGATGCTTCCGGGCCCTGCACCAGGTGGGATTGAATGTTTCTCGGGATCTTCTTGTTGCGAGTCTAGCCACCAGAAAAGTGCCGCTTACATGTGTAGGTAATTCTAGGTACGCTTGCTGTAGTCACCCCTCCACCTGATGCAGGATTTGAAGCTTCCAGGCCCTTCATTTGGTTTCTTTTCATAAGCATGACATGGTTTGATAGTATTTGGGTGTACATACAGGGAACCTGCTTATGAGAAGTACCGATACTGCCACTGCTCACATGTTTGAGGCCGCTGTCGTTCATTGGCAACCTCAAGGCAGCCGGCAAAGGGGTTGGAGTGGCCTTACTGTATGGAGGCTGAAGAACATCTGCAGGCATCAAGTGTATCATTAGAGTATATTGTAGCTAGGGCAAAATGGGATTAGTTCTTGCAGCCCAGTGCGCCGTTTGGAGAGATCACAGAAAAATTGTTCGCCCTGCAAACTCATGTTAGAATCTCCCGTTCAACTCACCTCACAGCGTTCGCCGCTGCGCCGGCACACCCCGCTCTAGACTTTGATTTCACTGCCATGCAACGTCGCCAGTGTTGACACCTAGGTTCATAAAGGCGATCCTGAATGTCTAGTGACGACGAAGCCTCCCTCCCCATGAATGCCCTAGCTCACACCCCTTTGTCTGTTTGCAGTGCTCTGAGGTGCCTCAGAACCCACTGCACACGCTACGTCGATCCCAGCTGAGCGACGATGACTTTCAGGTCAGATCCGGGCAGCAGATCTGCAGCAGTCTGAAGGATCTTTGCTTTGATGTGCTCGCGTGGTGTGGGTGTTTGTGATGTTGTTGTCACCTTCAGCCCGGGCTATATTTAGATTGCATGATCTACTGGTAGCGTGAGGAATTCCGCTCCCATACAGGGCACGATTCCGCTGTCAATGAACAGCTAGAAACGGTCCTTGCTGATTCAACTACCGTAAACCTCCTTCGCATACCCCTAAACGTGCGAAAAGTCAGTGCTCTCGAACCACCGTGTCCCTGGCAGTCCCTGTCAGATGCTGCAGTCTCGCATCAATGAACTGCGCGAGCGGCCCATACTTCCTCTTCTGGTCATCGATTCCATGCCACTTGACCAAATCCGCCTATCCCTGGTGTACAGTAGGCAGCAGAAACTTGGAACGATCAACTTGGTGGTGAGGGTTGCTAAGAAACTAGGTCTCGCGGAACAGGATCTGAACATGGGACTGCATGCAACTGCTAAACAAGGAACACCACCTGCGCTGAGCAAATATTTTGAAGCGAAATTGTCTTCAGTAACGCCGGGGGCTTTCATCTTGTTGATTCTCCGTAGGTTTCGTACCAGAGTTGCCTTGCTACTCCGGCTAACCTGCTGCAAGTTGAGCGCTGTTCCCCGCCTAAGCCTTGCACCCACTGGCCCCATGCTCCCCACATCATCATGTACTGGCATTAATGGCATGATGACCGGCAGACTATACCCATGGCAAAGGCTTCCGGGCCAGCGGCTGGAGTTTAACTCCCCCAACAAGGAGCTGTGCCAGCTGTGCCTCACCATAGGGGACCAACGGTTCAATGATGGATCCCTGACGATGCACCTGGACTTAGATACATTTGGGCGCCCCACCCATGCAACGAACCGTTACGTACCGAACTCTCACGTAACCCCTACTACAACGCACCCCAGAGTTCGCCTAGATTTGTTTAGAGCGTGATACCTTGAATGCGGCTTGGGCTTCAAGAAGGTATGCCTGTGCTAATTGTGTCTGGTCTGAACTATCTCCACCCGGACGGGTGAGAATCCCACATGCACAAGGCAGTAGATGCCAACCGGCACGAGTGCTAATCAATAAGCTTTGCTGAATTCTCCCACAAAAGCGAACGCCCTTCTTGCATAGTGCGTATACGGTCCTTTCAGGGGCACTAAAAGATGGTTCGCGAGGAGCTGAATGCCTTGGCGGATGAAGGCGACGTGGGCGTTATAGGCTCGGAGCGGATTTGATTTTCACGACACAGAAAACTGAAGAAGTATCCCTCCGCATTTGTCCCCGACTCCCTGTTCTACTATTCAGGTTTGCATGTTCTGGTCAGGATGCCTCAAGCCCGGAGAAGTAATAATTACCGGGAATCTTCTGAAAAGAGTCGTGAAAAAGGATCATCTGTTTCCTTACATCCAGATCGCAGGTCATTGCACTCTGTGGGACAGTACATCTTGCTCTTTTGGGAATGGGCTGATTTGATTTAAATCTTGTCAGCAACGAAATCATAACGTCTCTGTCAACAGTGAGGCCTTGAACTTTACCTGTCAATATTGCTTGTGCAACTGACACTGTGGGTACTTCTTGCTCAACGACTATCACTGCGGCGATGATTGCTACTTCTATTATCATATCTATGGACGCTTCAACCTTTATGCCTAAATGTCTCCAACTACTACAACAAGTAGATGACCCCAAGTGCATTCAATTGGTCATTTTTCGTGTCCAGTTCATTCTCAAGTACTCACCTACCATAAACCCAAGCCTAAATCCCAAGAAACGTGGCAGCTTCTATTTTCTTGTCCATTCCCACAAACCCTACATGACAGACCTCATCAAGATTTCAAGGGACCTCAAAAAGCCTCACATCAGGCATGGTGCGGTCACGCTTTGGGACGTCGCCCGCCCGCTTTGGTGTCTCAGCTACTCTGAAACTTGGCTAAGGACATGGGCGGTTTCTAGAATTTAGGTCTCCCAATATTGGGGTCCTTGTCTAAAGGATCATCTACTTATAAACATTTGGGGATATTGAAGAGACATCCCTATATTTCTGAGAGTATCCATACGCCGACTTGCAAGTTTGAACGTTTTCGAGTTCGAAAGAGGTTTGTCTCTGGTATCCTATTCCTCAGGAGAAGCCGCACCCATATGCGGCGCAGTTTTTGACGTTCATGCTTTTGGAGGGCATCCCAGCGGCCACAAGTGGCTGTGTCTAGAAATCCGTTCAAGCTATACTGATATGGAACTTCCCAGTTATTTTGGAATATAGGAATGGACTCCAGCTATCTTTTGAAATTTTGGTGAAATTTTGGCACCCCCCTAAGTTGGGTGTGAACCTGATTCGGCTTAAGAGTCTATCCAAGGGGCCCCAAAAAGCACCCCAGCACATTACACTCCTGATGAAAGGGACTCCCCAAAAGTGGAACCTAATTTTGGGAACCCCCCTTCAAAGGCGTTAACGCCTCCATAGCATGGCTTGTGATGATGAGGCCATCAGGGGTGCACAATTGGCAATTTCTCGTATTGTATTACAATCTTCTCTATCCAACTATATTCAAGTCTCATATACTATGACATTCTATACTATACTATTCCTCCACTTTCTGAGTATTCATAAAACGGCGACTCACAAGTTTGACAATCTCCGTGGCATGAAAGTTATCGGTTCTCAGCAGGGAATAAGGGATATAGGGTTTCCGGGTTTGGTGCTTTGATTTAGGGTTTAGGGCACCCCCCCATATAATTCCTATATATATATATATTTTTATTTTTCCCATATTCCCTACCAAGAACGAGTAAGTCATTGTCAGCCCCCAGTCAAAGAGTTTATTGGGGTTATATTCGGGTTTAGGGTTTGGGGTTTAGGGTTTGGGATATATAGATACAGGGAAAGAAAATGGAAACTCCAATATTAGCTCTAGTCGAAACTCCGATTATCCCCCTTCATAAGCCCTGAAGTTGTCTCCTATATAATCCCGTATACCATACTATACCCTATTATATTATAATAGACTATGATCTACCAGAATGCACCGTATCATGGCTCATGTTAAACCCTAAACCCTTGACCCTAAACCCTAAACCTTTGACCCTTGACCCTAAACCCTTGACCCTAAACCCTAAACCCTAAACCTCATGTTGTAGTATTATATAATAGGATGGTAACATGCCGGGCTCTCAGCTCCCAGCAGCTGAGGAAGCAGGTGAACTTCAACCAGTGGGAGCCTGGGCTTGAAGGGTTTCCGGACTACAGGGCTTCAACTCACTGGTTCTTAGTATGGAATATGGGAATATAGTATATGGGGATGATTTGATGGGAGTTATATCCCCACATTCCTTAGGAAGAGCCAGCAAGTTCAAGTCTGGAAGTGAAGCGAAATTCCGGGCTCTTCCAATGAAACATGTTTGCTTTCGGAGATATACACCTGAAGGTTCAGTGTGGTTTAGTGTGATCCATTACAATACCGAGATCGTTCCATGTTGTGGCTGAGTCAGTGTGCGTTGTTCCGCAGTGGACGTCCAACAGAAGAGCCGAGGTAGAACTGACTAAAAGCAGCACTCAAAGCTCGACCCAAACCTGTAGCTTTCAAACATTTACTTTCAAAACTGATAGCATTCCAGAAGTCCCCTGACCGCTGGACCCTGAACCGGTCAGCTGAATGCCTTGGGAGGAGCTCAAGGCCCATCGCCATTTCAAAGTGCTGGGCCCTGCGGAGCAAGAAGGTGACATCACTAGGGCCAAGGCCCCTCGCCTGCACGGAAGCACGGAATTGCTGATATTTTGATTTTTTGTACTTTATCGTGATTATTGTTTCAACTAGTTTTACTGTGGGAGTTTCGAATATACCCGTTGCATTATCTTCGGGGGGATCACGCAATCCCCGTGCACTCCCTAAATATCCCTCGCGTGTGTAATGGTTCTTCTTGACAAGCTCCCGTCCTGACAGCCATGAGTTGGGGTTTCAAGTTGCGGTGTCAAGGTCTAGCAGGCGTTTGGTATGATGAGATTAGGGTATGAAGATCAGACAAAGTTGCTTCAAAGCATGTAGCCTGTCCCACAGGGATTTTGCATTAAATTTGATTCTGATCATTGCGAATATCAGAGTACGCCCTGTGCTTGTTCTGAAGTGGAAAGACCTTCAGATCGATCTGGTGTCCACTGATTTAGGAAGTGCAGCCCTCCCAACTGTCGTCCTTCGGCGTTTGTTCAGAGGGCTCTTGCTGAAACCGGGACCAAACCTCTGAGGTGGAATTTGTCAACGACGAGTTTTCGCAGGCATCCGCATGTTGGCCCAGTCTCGGGATGTGTTGGCATCATCCGTTGGTTTGGTGAAACTTTCAGTATGCCTGTAGGCTTGTCTCCTCTCGTCCTCAAGAGTCCTGGGAGGAGGATGTGGAGCTTGCAGAAACTCTTGTTCCGCTCGTGGACGAGTGGACCGCAACCCTCGTTGAGATGGGCGTCCGGAGCTTACATACTTTTCCCTACAACAAGGCATTGGAACAGGCTGAACTAAGAGGGTTGCCTGCGATACTCGTCAGGTTGCGCTCAATTGCCCTAGTCTTGCTGTTCTGTTGAGCACCATGACATTTTCCCTAATTCTATCTATATAGCAGTATTCATAGCCTCTTCCCTAAGTAACCACTTCGCTGACGCCGCCGCGACCACGACTGGATTTCTACAGAGCATACCCAGTTGGACATGTGGGAATTCTCAGCCTAGGACCCACCCATCATCCCCTTGTAATCTCTATGTATCCTCGGAGAACTCTAGAGTACCCCTACATGGTTCTTTCACTTTCTGACCTGGTCCGGTTGGCTAAGAAAGAGCGGTACCAGGGGCAGCTCACCGACATCCTAAAGGAGCTCAGAGCGTCTGGGTTTAGGGTTTTTGGGTTTACAGTTGCTAGGAATATGAATTCCCGAATGTTTATGGGGGGACCTCCAGAATCCCTCTGTAGGCCCTTCATCTCCTGCGGTTTTCGAGTGTTTTCCTAACCCCCCACACGAAGGGTTTAGGGTTGAGGGCCCTGAGATTTGTGGACAACGGGAGAAGTGCCCAAATTACGGTAGCCATATATATATATATATCCAAGGCCTTGGAATGCTTAAGACTGCTTTTTGGGTATAGGCACTCTAGAGGCTTCTCTCCAGGTAGCGGGTGGGATCTGAAGCAGTCTTAAGCATTCCAGGGCTTAACGGTTGTAGCCCGGGCAAAGGGTTCAGGTAGAGGTTTTATGACTTTTTAGGTCTCAGGCGAGTTTCAGGCAAGGGGTTCAAAGAGTTCAGGTAAAAAAAGATTCCCAACCTGAGAGCAGAACTGGGGCCCAGCCGCTAAAACGTACACCCTATGACCTTGGAAGAGCTTGGAGGGCCCCGACGAACATTCCAGCCACTGGCATCCGCTGCTCCGCCTCAGAGGCTTTCCGAAGTCTTCCGAGATCTTCGAAGTCTCTGGAGGTCTTCCGAATTCCTTGCAAGACCACAAAAGACCAGCCTCCCGAGGTTTCGAGGTCTTTCGAGACCTCGGATAACCTCGGGAGACCTCGGAAGGCCCTGACTCACTGACTTAAGCCCTCGGAAGATCTCGGAAGACCAAGGGAAGCCCCTGACTCACTGACTGAAGCATTCCAGCCGCTAGCGGTGGGGAAGCAGGGGCTTCCTTTGGCCTTCCGAGGTTTTACCTCCTTGGGTATTCCAGCCAGCGGTGGGCGGCCGCTACGCTGGTGGCTGGAAGGCTTAATTTAAGTCAGTGAGCCAGGGGTGCACCAGAAAAAGAGATCCGATTTGATATGATTTTCGGCTGTTCAGCTGAACTGCACGAGGACCATCCATTTTTGACACCGCCCCGCGACACCCAATTTGCCTCCTCTTCACCCAGGGGTCTGCGCGCAGAAATGGGTCAGTCTTAAGCATTCCAGGGGCTTGCCACAATATATATATATATACATATATATCACTGCATACATACTATAGATTTTTTACAAAGGCCTCATGATGGACCATGGGTTTGTCGCATGCCCTGCTCAGATTCTTTCAACGGGACGCCTAGGAGAATGTGAGAGCGTGCCCTTGCTGATGTGAGAAACGCATTGCCTGCATTATTGGTATTTACTAGTAGAATGGCAGCAGTATGTATGAACTGCGGTGGAATAGTCAGATAATTGGCAGTAGCAAGAACAATGGTGTGATCGCAACGATAAGCAGAAGGAGTCATTAGAACAAGGCCTGGAGCGGTCTGGCTACGCTCTTCGTGTCCTGTAGCGCTTTGAAATTGTAATGTCTTCGGTAGATTGCAGAATCAGTGTCCTCAGAATACTAAAGGAAGCAGAGAGTAACTTTAACTGATATACGCCTGTCTCTGCCAGAGGACCTGGGAGATATGCCAGATCCAAAGGCAGCGGGAGATCTTGCGATCTGGGTGGCTGCGCTGGTCAACCCAATCCCTGCTCTAGGCTGGAGAGGGGAGTGAGTTGTAGTTCTAGCGCCCTTACGGTGCATGCGCTCTCCTGGGTCAGCTTCTGGCGTCATTGTTGTCTGGCAAAATGCCCTCGGTTGTAATCATCTACCCTCCGTCGGTTTATACACAGTTTCGCGGTGCACTGCAGCAAGTCCATGTCCCAAGTTTCCGGCTGGCAAGGCGTGGCCTACGAAATCCGGCCAGCCGTGCTTCAGGCTTCAAGTGTCCGACAACGCCTGGAAGTGGCCATCGAGGGCATCCGCGGAAGCATCGACCACATCAGTGGCAAACAGAAATTGTTTTGAAAAAAGTCCTGCGGGCAGTGTTTGCCGTACATACGAGGTGCTTCTACGTGATTATACGTTCATGTTACAACGTTGTTAAGTATCTCGATGCGTTTCAATTGCGATTCTTGCGAACTCGATTCCTCCTGTTGTCAGTCCGTACTGCAGTTGACGCGCTGCTGGTCTCAAGCCATTGCTGGTCCCTTATGTGGTTCTTGTTTCGGAGACCTTTCAAGGCAATGCTTGCAAGCAGCGAGCGCCTGGGTGATTTGAAGAGGCCTACTGGGGCAATTCAATGAAGTTTCTTTCTGAGCCTGTTCAGGTGTCTTTGGGGGTCTGCAGGCTGTCTTGACGATGAGAAGAAGTTTGTGTTCGGGTTACACGGATTTGCAATGTGCCCCGACATCTGAATTCCCGGTTTCGGGCTATAACGGATAAGGCCATGCAGCGATGCATCATAGATTCTGCAGGCAGCGCAGTGACTATAATATCAGGTGGGCCATTTTCAGCAGTCTGGGCCCTTCAGCTTTCTTGTCTGGTACTAAGACATCGTTTCACCTTTTATGAACCAACCATGTGGCATCTGTTTTCGATCAACTGCTTAGCTTCTGTAAGCGGATGTATGGCAAGCTGAATTTGGCCGTGAATTAATACGTGTACGTGTATCCCCTCCACCTGAGTATCCCCAGGATGTGCAGGACAACGAGAAACGTACAGGAGATTATGGCCATAAAGCAAGCTACCCACAGGAATCGTCTCAACCGTCCTCACACAGCAAAACAATTGCACTCGTATTGGAGTGTACCCCGTCAGGGCAGTGGCAGTGTTGACACATCTCAGTATCTTTCCGCGCGTTGCTCCGAGCCAGGCTCTCAGTGCGTCAGAGCATTAAGCGGATGCACCGTGTGTGTAGAGCACCCGTTTTTGTGTGTGTGTGTGTGTGTCTCGTTGTCGAGCACTCCCAGAATACAAGCACGCTACGAGATATTGTATCCGATGACTGTATCCCAGTGACGTTGAGATGAAACTAAGGTCCCAGCTGGCGTGTAGTCTTGGGCACTGTGGCGGTCTTGCTGCTGTGGCCGGGACGCTGTGGGGTTCGAGGATTGTGTTTCTACGATGCGATACGTACGACATCGTGTGCATAGCCAAAGCTGGGGGTGGTCTAGGTTCTTCTTGGTGAAGGCGTATTCGAAGTTGAGATGTAGGCAAGGAGTCCCTGCACCTTTTCCTCTTGGCATGACCGTATGTATTGCCATTGCCAAGTTGAAGTCGTGCTGTCCTCTTGCGAAAGCAGTCGGGATGTCGCAGGCGCCACAGCGGCACAAAGGCAGCACTTGCAGCGCGAGCCATCCTTCAGGAGGTCCGTCTCGTGTTTTTGGGTGCTGTGGACACACTGGTGGAGTGCTGTTCACAGAAATGCGCCTGCATATTTAGGATACAATGATACGACATCGTGTTGCTTCTCCTGCTGCTGCTCCTGCTACCGCCCTTACTACTACAAGTACTGTACACCGCTACCCAAGCAGCAGCAGAACTAAAGCAATCAACAAGTATCCATGACTTATCAAAAGAAAGTTATGCGCAGCAACATTCGGAGGTGTTGTATTCGGCATGCTCTTCGACCTTGTAGTCGTCCTCGTCCTACTCCACTCCTGGGCCGGATAGTCCGGCTGTTGGCACATTATTTAGGGTGATATAAAAAGTCGTCATGTGGTCCAGTTCATGTTGTGGTGGCCTTGAGACCCTTCGTGGTAGGGGCGACCACACATTGCGCTTAGTCGACTGCCTTTCGCGCTTGTTGCTGAAGTCGTTCTGCATTCGTGGGGGTAGCAGAGTAGAACAGCACAGGAGGTACTGACGTAAAGTCCCCGATAGTAACCCCTAGAGATTCCCAATACTATAGTGGTTGCCATTCTTTTTCCATTCTCCTATGTATGCCCATTTTTTGCCTTTCTGAGCAATGGTCAATACTCGCGTATTAGGGACGAAGAGGAGGAATGCCGTGAGATGTAGGAATCGCGCAAAAGCCCCAGAAGCGATAAGACACCCCCAATAGCGACACCCAGCAATCTAAGACTACAGCGGAACTGTGTTTTGGCTGAACCCCCCAAAAGGATACCTTTCTCTTGTTCTACGCCAGAGCCCCCAAAAGCGATAGGACCTCCCCAAGTTGTCCATAGCGTCGGATTATACAAAGAATTTCGCTGAACGCTCATATAACCCTACTTTCCATGTAATTTTCCATACTCCCTAGTGTAACAAGTTGCGTGACAGAGGCCGGCGGCCGCAGGAGCCAGGCTATGCAAACATTCCAACAATGGTAGGATTCAGTAATTCAGGGCTTTAGGGTTTTCGGGTTAAAGTTTAGCGCTTTTGCATGGTATACCCAATCATGGAAGATGGTCCCAAACTGGGGGTTCTAGTTTCTGGAGATTTTCCTAGGAGCCTTGGGTTGTCAGCATGGGGGCTTTCTTTGGATGATTGTAGTTGGTTCTTAGGATTTCTTGGCGCAGACACTCTAGAGTCGGGAATCTAGGGGAGTGGCAGAATCATCCGAGGGAACTTCCTCCAGCCCTGGCAAGGCCAAAAAATTCTGAGTCTCATTCACGCTTGGTAGGGAACGAGGGAATGGGTGATATGGGGTTAGGGGTTCTGTAGGGTTATTCTACAGGGATGATATAGGGTTATATAGGGAAGGTATTCCAATAGTTGAAAATCAAATGGAGCAGAACATGGAAAATGAAAGGGAAAGTGGGATACTGTGGTGGCTTATATAGGGTAAATACTAAACATCATTGATGCATGAACCCAGGAACTTTAAACCACGGATTTGCAGTAGGATAGTATATTGTGTAGTATCACCGGTCGGGTTTGTCATGTGGTTGACGTACGGACTGCGTAGGGATCCACTCCCACATTCCCAAGCAAGCATGCCTGGGCACATCTATTACGGAATTGAGGGCCGTCCCGGGACTACCCTGGCAGCCGTACGGGAGTTGCCACAAACAGCCTTTGCAATGTCCTGAAATCGCCTTTTCGAATCTCCCCATAATCCCCAAATGACCCCTAAGGTCCCCAATTTTGGGAGTGTCCTAAGTTGTTTCAGCTGCGAGGCAGTACCTGACTGATGGCAGTACATCTCAGTTGTAAAGACACCTTTACCCCGCCCATTTGTTGAGGTACTATATTCCTGACAGCTGGGTTTCTTCAATGCTGGAGCTGGGAAAGCCAATCGAAGCAGCAGGGTGTTGCAGGGACCTTCCACAAATGTTAACCTTGTTGCAGGTCCTATGGCCGGATAGGCTCACAGGTGTTCGCTTGAGATAAACATCTCAAACAGGGACCGTAATCTTTGGAAATCCTGGCGACGAAAGGTGGCTGGTGCTTTGGAGCAGCGGCTTGGAGCTTGGAGCACAGCACTGGCCTAGTACGGCAGTGTGCAGTCTATCTCGCAGCAGCTCCGAGCACATTTCACAAAACAGCTGTAGCTGAACTGATGGTGCGTAAATCTTTCTTGATGCCAAAACGAACACTAGATTGGTGGCAAGCACTATGACAAGGACGTCCTTTCCCGTGCTGTGCCAATCTCAGCCGAGGCTGGATGACTTGCTGCTGAGTCGCGAGGAGCGCAACGAGAGCATGCAACGTAGCCACTCTCCTGCAACAGCACAGGCAACTAGTATAGTGGGTTGATCTCCATGTCACCTTCCGATCTCCTGCATGCAGTTGAATTCGACTGCGAGTTGACCTGAACTTAGTTTGTTTTGCACCCAGAATGAAATCCAAGTTTTAATTCCTTATCATAGGAGGAGTCGCAAGGCTTGACATCCTAGCTCATCCACACTCAGATGTGATCTGGAAGTGCGTTGCTTTCCACGCTGTAGCGTGCTGCTTGGATCCATGCTTTAAGATTCCCGATCATGGAAGACAAGGCCAACGGCAGAGATCATCTTCAGCTCCCGCTCCCGCTTTGTCAACACACAACTTGGGGGATCAGGCAGGCGCGGGCATTGTCTGATCACAGAGGATTAGCGATAATTTTGATGCCACTCTCCACGCTCATCAACTTCTTACGTATGTTGAACTAACAACGAGATGTTTTGGGAAGGGATTGGTTGGGTCCTCCCCTGTACTGTGGTAGTCGGGACAGTATTTATCAGTTACTGATACATGTCAGCAAATCCTGGTTAACAACCTTCATTGCGGAGAATGCTAGGCCCAGTGCTGCTATAGTCATACACAGCCTCCATGCATTTCACTGGCCGTTCAATGGTTCAAGTCAACCATGTGCTGCATGATCCCTCAGGTCATCCATGGGTTCGGCCTAGGTTGCTTTTGTGGTTGCTTGCTTTGTGGTGTTAAGTGTTCTGTGGCGCCATATATTTGAACGCCATGTTCCAGTGCCGGATGTGTTCGGAGAACCCCTTCAGCAGCTGGGACAAGAAAGGGCTGTTTCTGAACTCATCTTCACCATTTTGAGTCTCACCTTTATCATGTTTGCGCGTTCCTTACAGATCATCTTTAACTTGTTATTGGCTCCTGTCTGTGTATTGCAAGTATGGTGTTCTTCTGTCGTCATCAGCATCCTGGCTGGGTTCTAAATGCAACGCACGATGGCAAGTCTGCAGAGTAACTGTCACCCAGTGTTAGCTGCGGAGACACCGATAGCAAAGGCGCAATGATGGGCGCTCCGCCCGGCAAGAAGGATGAGGTGTGGACAGCATAGGTCCCTATAGCAGACGGTCTATTATTCTGGTCAGCCAGCCTCTATTTTCAGAAGTGCACATGTAGCGGCGGGGTCTTCGTGTGCCAGACTGCGCGCATGCAGGAGAAGAAAAAGAAGAAAGGAGGTGGGGACGGAGGCTCGCAAGGGTGGGGCATTTCGGATGGTTCGAGGCCATGACTAGCACGCGAACACGTCGGACTGTGACAGATAATGATGTTAGGCCTGGGAATTGCCGCTCCACACAGAGACTTAGAGACTCAGGAAGACCACCGAAAAGTTTCGAACCCAATGCCCGTTTCGAACCCAACGCCCGCAATGCCCTGTGCCTGGATTCCAAGTCTAACCATGCTTGAATACTCAATGCAGGAAAGAGGAAGTCTGTGTCCAAGCGCGACATGAGTGCCTACAATGGTCGCTCTGACGCCGAAGTGCTCCTCGGACATCAGAAGTCAAGCCTCGGCTGTCTAGCGAAGAAGGTATACGGGAGAATCCAGCCATGGGGAGGTGGGGGGGGAGGGGGAGGAAATGTAAACACCATTATTGTATTC